CTTGGAAACAGCCCAAATGCCCATCAACTGGAGACTGGATAATGAAAATGTGTTTTTTTAATAAAATGGAGTAATAGCCATAAAAAATGAGAAATTAGAGACATCTATAGCTAAATGGATGCACATTGTGGTCATACTCTTAAGTGAAATAAATAGGACACACATGTATAAATACCAAATAGTTTCTCTTGTGTGAGAAACTGAATGTGTAAATAAGGACTAAAAAGTATAATAGATAATGTGAACTAGGAAGGAAAGGGGCAAAAGGGAAGGGGAAGTGGGAGGGGTAGCAGAAAGGAAAGAAGGGAATGGAATTAATATGAGAAAATGAAAAATGGAAACAAAGTCTTTGTAAATAGGGAGGAATGGAGGGTTTGAATGGAGGGCAGGAGAAGGGGGAAAAGTAAGAACCAAGAGAGAGTATGTAAAGGTGCAGATTTCCAACGATGAATGTCATTATATTGTATGTCTAAAATGTACCAATAAAATAAAATTTTAAAAAAATTTCTAGCATTTTATGAATAAGGTTTGTTCAATTCATTTTAATGACTAAAAAGCAATGAGGTCTCTTGCCATGACAGTCAGTCATGCAGGCATGTATCACCAGTGGTTCAAGGTGGTAAGAACGTGTTAAAGACTTATCTTAAAGACATTATTTTAAGACCTACTTTAATCAATGTAATCATTTTGGAAAAACAAATTATTTATTGTTTAAAGGAACTAACCTGACATTTGTCTCCTAAATAATACTGTCTTCCAGCATACTCCATGTAATCAGATTTTTGAAGTTCTATTAAAAAAAAGGAAGATTAAAGCTCAATTGAATTGGCTCCTTTCCTTCTTTATATTAATTTCCCAATTTACTTTTATACAGTGCTTCTGACAATCGTATCCCTATAAAAGTTAAAATCTTGGGAGAAAGTACCAAAGGGCCAAGACTTGCCAAAACAGTTTCGTACTTTAAAATACAAATAGGAGGAAATAGAGCGTTTTTAATCTTAGTGTTGGTCAAACACTATAAATGTACATTAACACTATGCAGCTTCTTCCAAGGAGCCTGTTTTTTAAAACAATTTACTGTATTACACAAAGTGTTAACTTCATTCTAACTATATCAAGGTTCACCAAGGTTCAAGGAGTTGAATATAAAACATTGACAGTTCATGACAGAGCTGTAAGTCATGTCTCATTGCCTGGGAGCTCTAAAGCACCAGTGGTGCATGCATGACGGTCTCATTCGGGGGTAAAAGGCACACAAAAGGATAATGATGCATGTACTACCGGTGGTACAACTGCCTGATGGGACAGTTATGAAGGCATGTACATTTGTGGTTCAAGCTGGTGGGAACGTGTTAAAGGCTTACCTTAAAAACAGTATTTTAAGACCTAGTTTAATCAATTTAGTTATCATAAAGAGATCATTTCCTAGATTAAGAATTGATAAAATTTTTGTAGAGCCAGACAGCAAATATTTCAGATTTTGTGAGCCAGTCAGAATTACCAACTCTGGTATAAAACTTCATTTGTGAACACTGAAATTTGAATTTTATGATTTTACATGCTCTTTAAATTTTTTCCTGCCCTTTAAAAATATAAAGACCATTCTTAGCTCATGGACTAAGCAAAAACAGGTGATGGAGTTAGATCTGGTCCACAGACCTGACCTACTTATTTATCAATGAGGATAGTCTTGACACTTTACATTTCAGATGAGTGTGTTTCCAGTCACTAAAAGTTTCTGGTATTCTTAAGGGTATCTATAGGCTACCTCTACATGTCTTGTAAAGGTGAAATCCTAGATAAGCATCAGGCTGTAAAAACATCCCTCATTTCTAATCCTATTTGTTTCTTCCTCCAGATTTAAATCATATGGAAGATAAAAAGCACCCAGGCTGTTATTTTTTAAAAACAGTATTTTGAAAATGTCTCTTACAGTAAACAGCTGGCAAAAATATTCTCCCAGCTCTGTCAGGATTCCAAAGTATCCTATTGATATTACACACCTTTTCTGCTGTCCAACCAAACATCAAATTCTACATTACGATAGATTTCCGGATCCAGAGCTTTGAGCACTTTATAGGGGAAGAGCATCTTTGATGGATTTTCTGGAGACTAAAACAGAAATAATCAATCATGCCACAAACTTCCATCCTTAGTTTAAGTCTTCCTTCTATGAAGGAAAAATTAAGTTGTTTTTTCATCCTTTTGTAAAGAAGATATGTACAGTATACAGTGATACCTCAGTAGTCAAACTCAATTTGTTCCAAATTCATGTTCAAACACCAAAATCTCTGAGAACTGAACATATTTTTTCCACAAGAATAGAAAACCAAATGATTTGTTCTGAGGTCCCAAAATTACACTCATAAATTCATTTTTCCAGGACTTTAACAATTTTTTCAATGATTTCTTTCTTCGACTCTATCAGTTTTCCTCTTAACTTTATTGCTGCTATCACTAACTTTCTTTGAAGCCTTGGTTACGACATTTTACACAAATAAAGCACAAAAACAGCACAATGTTTTAACGCACTAACACAAGCACTATGTACTGTCTGGGCAAGAACAGCACTTAAGACTGATGCGTCATCCCTTTGTGTCCACAGCAAGGTGCAACGTGTGATTCAGTCTCGGCCCAAATAGGTTTTTTCGTGTTGGATTTTTGGTTCAACTATTACGCAAAGTTACAAACACCGATCAGATATTTTTCGAACTTTGCTGTTCAAGTAGTAGAAAGTTCAAGCTTAGAGCCACTCGACAACTGAGGTATCACTGTATATGACTCCCTTTCCCTCTTTATTAAAACAAGAAATAGCAAAATAAATTTTACCATGTATTTTAAACATCAGGAAACTAAAAAAGTAAAATGCAAATAATGTAAAAGGTTTTAGATGACAGAAGGGAAGTACTATCTAGAGCAGTCAACAAGTCCAGACACATAAACCAATGTCACACAGACCAAGATTAAAAATTTAGTCCGAGTTATGTAACAAATGTTATCTTGATATGCACAAGAAAATATCTGAAAAGCTTACTTTATTTTGGTCAAACTGTATAATTTCCAAAAGACCTACCAGCTTTCTTCTGCTTTTCTAGAATTTCACAATATTGAATACTGTTTCAAAATCACCAGCACTTGACAGACATATATTGTTGCTTTTTTATTGTAATAGCATTTGTCCTATTTAGTTAGCCTCAAGGTGAAGGCCTACTTGATTTTAGGCCTATACAGATGGTAAAATTCTATTTCTCTAACTTTAAAAGACCAGGATTAGCACCTACTTTCTTTGAATAGGACAGGGATAAGCATTACATTCTTTAATGAAAAAACGTAACCTTGGGATCAAAAGACTGATTAAAAACTAAATACTCAGTTTGTAATACTACTTTAACTTGAATATAAAAGCTTCTGAAACATCTCTAATATGTAGCTTGTTTTGAAAAATCTCAAATTCCCTAATAATGAGGATTCAGAGAAAATGAAGCACACATTTTACATTTTTTAATACACAGAACTCCCATAAAGAGAAACAGGATCAATTCTTCCTCTTGTCCCATATATTTACAATGGACCATTTTGATCTGAACTCTTTATGATGCTGCAACCCAACAGTATGGAAATTCTTTGCCTTAGAAAATATCAAACCTTCAATTCTTCCATTCCTTGATTATAGCCCTCTGGTATATTCTGAATACTGCAGCCAGCACCCCACTCTTCATTCCTAATCAAAAAGAATTAGTTACATCAAAGAGCTTTTATACAGATGTAGTAGTTCCTTGTCTCATGTCTAACGACTATACTACCACCTAGTGGTGAAGTAGCTCATTTTAAAAATGAGCCAAATAACATTTTTACTTCAATATCTGCATTATGCTTTCATTTCATAAGTATGTGCTACAATATACTTACTGAGATTATCTTCTGTGAGGATACACTCTTAAGGTGGTCTCTATGATCCTGCTTCCTAGTGTTCATACCCTTCTGTGATTCCCCTCTCCTTGAGTTTGCATCTACTCAAGACAGAACTCAGGTGTTTAAAATATAAAAGAATACAGCACCCATCTTTCTGGTCTTCTTTCCTCAGCTACCTACAAAGGCAGTAAGCAGCCATATTCATCAACCCAATGTGGAAAGGAGGTAAGGGCTACTTCTGACTAATTGCCAACAAAAAACTAAAGCTGTAAGTCCCACAGCTGGAAGGAACGAAATGATACCTTTGGGGGGAAAGAGGATCTTTCCCAAAGCTCCAGATAAGACTGGCTCCTGGCCAATACCTTAATTACAATCTTATGAGACCCTCAGAGTTTCCAGTTTAACCATGCCTAAATTCCTAACCCACATAAATTATTAGAAAAGTATGCGGTTTTAAACTGCCAAGTTTGTAGTAATATACAGCACTAGATAAATAATGTACTTTGCCTTCCTACTACTACAGTTTCCATAAGTCTGAAGTCTTTAAGACAAGTGATCAGTGAAGAATGAAGCAATTTTTGCCCTGATATATGAATGCTACCTCTGGAAGTCCATATAAGTTTTTAAAAATTATCTTCTATCAAAAAGAAAAAAAAGTTGCAAGTGTTAAATGTCAAAAAAATAGAACTACAAGACTAAAATACAAGATGACACCTGTCTGGCAACAAACTGTACCAATTTCTGGACATAACTAGGAATCAGGAATAAGAAACAAGAATATAAAGACAACATAACATTCACTTTATTATTTAAAATCCAAAATTTTCAACTAGATCTATTAAATAAAACTGCTTCCTCAAAGGCACACAATCTATATTTTCAGTGCATACCAAAGACAAACATTCCAAAGCGCCTAAAACTCCCATCAGCCTGAGAGATTTCTATTAATGGGATGTGTATATTAAGTAACCACCCAATCTCAGTTACCATTTCAAAAATGGTGGTTAGAATCAGTTTCTTCTCATAGTATAGTCCACAGCCTACCTACACCAGCATACTTAGGTGTATTGTTTTTTTCATTTTAAAAAGCAGAGCTCTTGCCCCGTTCTGACCTCAAATTTTGTGAAGGCAGACCCAGGGATCTGCCTTTTTAATAAGTACTCTGAGTAATTCATATACATCTAAAGTTTGAGAATCACAGTTAATAGATAGTTGTAAAATCTCTTTTAGCAGTAAAAAGTGGATAGTGATGAATAGAACCCATGGCATAACTTCTCTCCCTTCATTAAAAAACATACACCCCCTAATACACATTTACATATTGTGTGTACAGGTAATTTAATTCATGAGCTTGATAGGTCCCTTTCACATTCAAATGATGATACACACAAACAGGAAATATGATTATGATGTAGTTAACATCCCCTTTCCCTTATTACCTATCCTGTGTTGAACTCTTGTAATCAATATGGGCATCCTCACTTCCAGTCACAGCATTGTTTCTATTCTTCTTAGAACCACTTCGAAACAACTGAACTGCAGTTTTCAATGCCTCTTCATCCATGACAAACACATCTTTATAGAGAATCTCATACAATACAGCTAAAGTACGAAAAAGGGAAGGAACCACAATTGGTAAGATTTACTTTTTCTAACAATGCAAAAGTAGCCATAACCCAGGATACAAATTTTCTAAGTATCAATAAGGTTTTAAAAGACCTATATTGAGTGAGTTCCTCAAATTAAAGACTGGTAACAAATCATCTGAAATCACACCAAATATTTATAAAGCTTTCACATACCCTGACAAATAGCTGCACTTGACTGAAATTGTTTTGAGTACACAGAATCATAATGACCATTGCTTGAATAACAGAGTACAATCTGAAGAAAAACAAAGAACAATTAATGTTATATGTCTTACAATCTCAAAATTAGGTTGATAACTTGAAATTAATTTGGTAATTAATAACAATGATTTATCATTTTAAGTGATTTTTTAAAAAAATTAACATACGTTAAATACAAGATGTATCTCATTAAGAGTTTTTCTTGGCAATGACTTTTAAATGCCAGGATTAAAAAGTTAAACTGTAAACCTCAATCATGTTTCCTGAATACACCAAACAAGTTCTGATTCACAAATCTGCATTAACATAGGAACTTTTATAGATTGAGTTACTAACCATAACAAAAAGCCTAACAGATGCCCAAAGTCTTATCTTAACATCTAAGTCAAATACCCAAATAACCCAAACTCAAATGAAGGGAGAAAAGTAAGTTCATTTAAAGCAATTTATTCAACAGGCTATTAAACTAAATGACAATATATCAATATACTATATAGGGTGGATACTGATACAGACCTTAACGAATTAAGACAGTCAGATGGTTACAAAACTGGCGGGTTAACTTCTTAGATGATTCAATTCTTAGTCTTTTTAATTAAAACAATTAAAAAGCCAAGCTTGTTAGTCAAAGGCTTGGTGTGATGAAACTTATGTAACAATTCTAAAAACTTTTAAATTTGTTCTAAAACTGTCTTGTGTAAAATATATAATCCCTAGTAATTAAAGTTGTTTTATTTTGAATTTATCTGTGATTTATCAGTGATCTGAGTGAAAATTCTGTGATCTATGGAAGATAATGCCCCGAAACTTTCTTGGCAGAAAAATATTCTCAGTACTCTGTTTTACCTTCCTATACTACCCTGAGGGAACTTTTCTCATAATCAAGTTCTCTGATCCCAGGGCTGTTTCTTCCCTAGCACCCCGCCCCCTTTTTCATTTGAGATAGGGTCAGTCTTTATAGTATAGGCTGGCCTTGAACTAACTCACTATGTAGCCCGGGCTGTCCTTGAACTTGCTGCGATCCCCCTGCCTCAGCCTCCCGAGTGCTGGGATGACAGGCCTGTTGGCCACCCTATCCTTTTTTTAAAATAAAAATTTCAACTATGTCCACTTCAAAGCATTTGAGCACAAGTATTAACTTAAAAGTAACTAAAAGTATACTTTATGAATAAGTTTCACCCACCACAAGGGCTATTTGCATTTAAGAAAATTTATTAACATAAAAGAACAGTGAGCAGATTTTGAGCAGAGAAGCCCTTTATGCTTTGGGCTACTAGAACTGGGAATTCCAATTAAGAAAGATTAATAAACTAGAAGCTGTTCTTAAGAAGTAAAGAAATGCAACTAACCAGAACCAATGAATAATTAAGCATTTTTTTAAGAAGGGAAAAAACAGATGATTGCACAATTTCCCTATTCCAGTAGCAAGAAGTTCGGTTTTGATAGAAGAGACAAAGTAAGGCAGGAGGGCTTTTTTATGTTCCTGGTGGTATGCCAACATAAAAACAGTAATTTTTTCATGTACACTCATGGGTGGTATATTTGTTTGGGAGCAGGCAAGTAGGATATGATGGCAGTAAAATAGTGAAGAATACAATAGACTCACATTAGTGATAGATAACTGAAAAGGAGTAGACTGTTAAGTCTAACCTCAGCTACTTTTAAAAAACAAATGCAAAGAGAATGACACAGAAAGACATATACCAATACTTGATACCTGTCACCCTGAAGCTCATGGGACTGAAGACCATGAATGGGTACGACATATATTACCAGATTTAAGTTTTAGTTTGTTTTCAATATAAGTATGTATTTCTATTTTTCTAGACAGAGCAAGTGAAGTGAGTGAAAATGGCTAGCTTTCAGTAGCATTCACTTTGACACTGAACAATTTAGGAAGTTGAAAATAACTACTGCTATGTAGACGGCAGAGCTAAGTCAGCATAGAAAGTGGAAAGCACCAGGTAAACATTAGGTATTTATTTCTTTGAAAGTTTGTTTTAAAATACATTTTGGAAAGGTTACTGGTAATGTTCACTACCTTTAAGGGAGTCTTTTTTTGTACACCCAAACAATTCAAGTGCAAGTCTTCGGAGTCTAAACTGAGACATATATAGCAACAAAGTTTTAGGCAAAACAAAGTGTCACACAAAACAATATCTGGGTTTTTCACTTTAATTTCCATATGAACAAACATACCTACTTCATTAATTCCCAAATCAGATACTTATATACACTATGCTATGCATGCAAATACCCAATTGTCAGTAAGTATCAGGTCTATATTCACCTCTATATGAGCCTTATATGTGATATTCTTTATACATACTCAGGATTTATTTTTTGAACTTTAATGACTCCCAATAGGTGACACTTCCCCATGGCTCAATATTATCTCTGTAAGATATACAACAGGAGGGCTGGGGATTTAGCTCTGTGGTTCTGCCACCTGCCCGGCAAGTGCAAGGACCCGAGTTCGATCCCCAGTACCAAAAAAAAAAAAAAAAAAAAGATATACAACAGGAGTACCCAACACTCAGGCCATGGGGAGGTACTGGTCTGTGATCTGTTAGGAAGTGGACTGCAAGTAAGTGACGCTTCATCTGTATGTATAGCTACTCCTCACTGCTTCCATTACCACCCAAATTCTACCTCTTGTCAGATCAGTGGAGGCATTAAGATTCCCACAGGAGTATAAGCTCTATTATGAATTGCCCATGTGAGGGAATTATGTTACATGCTCATGAGAATATAATGTCTGATGGCCTGAGGTGGAGCTGAAGCAATGATGTTAGTGGTGGGAAGCAGCTGCAAATACAGATCAGCATTAGCAGAGAGGTTTGACTGCACAGAGACTATAATAAATCTCTTGTTGACTCTTATCAAAACTCTATCGGTGAGGGAAAAGTGACAATTAAGCTGCATCTGGTGATCGGTTTTATACTGGCAAGTGAGTTGATGTACTTCAATTGTACACCTATACCTGGTAGCAGGCTGTAAGATAAAATCTGATATTAACTTTAGTCTATGGCCCACCCATTTTATTTACCATACCATTTTACTCTACCCATGCCTCTTTCCTGCACTGTGCACTTGTCTCACAGTTTTGGTAAGTATACAAACTAACCCTAGCCAAAATGAATAAAGGACACATGTCACCAGGGAGATTCAGTGATGACAGAGCAGAAAAGACTGCCAACAAAATGAAAGATGCACATAAAAGAAAATGCCAAGAATTTTTCTTAAATTACATGTTCATTGTAACAGGTGATGCACATTTTCCAGGATTGTTTTGCATAATGTATGACGATGCACTATCAAACAAAGCCATGAAACCTTCAAAATTGCTTTATCATGTGGAGATCAAGCAACTTGCATTGAAAGACAGGCCTCTTGAGTTTTTCAAAAGAAAAAAAAACATGAACATGAAAAACAAAAGCAATTATTGATCATCAAACTGACCAGCAATCATCAAATGTGTATGCACTGAAAGCATTATTCTTAGTGACTAACTGCATTATTAAAGCTAAGAAGTCCTTGACAAATGGTAAAATTCTGATCCTGCCTGCTGCTAAGGACATTTGTCATGAACTTTTAGGAGGCTATAGTACAATAACTAGGTAAACTGATAAAATAGCACAGGACACTGAGGCAAAATTGTTAGAGAAGATTAATGAGTCACTGTGGTATATAATCCAGGTTGATGAGTCTACCGATGTTGAAAACAAGACAACAATGCTTGTTTCTATGGGATGTATTTTCCAGGGGGATGTGAATACGAATGTGTAATATGCACTTTTGTTGCCAACCAACATGCCAGGGGCAGAACTATTCAAGTCTTTGATTTTATCTTAGGAAAACTGAGTTCGTTATTTTGTGTCAGTATATGCATGGTCAAAGTGGCTACCATGATTGGAAGTCTTTCTAGTTTCACTATTTGTGTCAAAGAAGTTTCTTCTAAATGTGAGTCTATACACTATGTCATCCATATAGAAATTCTGGCTAGCCAAAAAACATCACCTGCACTTAGCATTTTGTAGAATGTGATTAAAATTACCAACTACATTAAAGTATATACATTAACTGATGTCTGTTCATGGCGGTCTGTGATGAGACGGATGCAGAATACATACGTCTTCTTTTATATATGTAAGTGAGATGACCTTCTAAAAGCAGAACACGGTCAATTTTTGAGTTATAAGAGCCATTCCAGAGATTTCCTTTAGAAAAATAGTCACTAGTAGCAACACATTCCAGTGACACACAATAGGTTGTAAAACTTGCTTACTGTTGTGACATATTCAACCTGCTCAATGAATTCATTCTGTCACTTCAGGGGAGAATGACAATTGTGTCAAGTCAGCAGATAAAGTGGCAGTATTCAAAGCCAAACTTGAATTATGAAGGAATGAGTGAACGTTAGGATTTCTGATATGTTTCAAACATTAGAAGAGACTTTAAAAGAGACTGAGCCAGGGCCTTCTTTCTCCCAGCTGATCCATAGTCACCTATCTTAGCTTTCAAGAGTGTGAGCATTACTTTCCAATCATCAAAAACCCCTAAATTGGGAAGGAATGGATCCACAACTCATTTGTAAATAAGCAAGGTAAATCGACTTTGTCTACATTAAAAGAGGATCAAATGTTTGAGATCAATATGACAGTGGCCTTAAAAGTATTAGACAACTTCAAATTTTCCTACATTCTGGATTAAAGTCAAAGTTGAACATCATGAGATTACCACAAAAGCACTGAAGAGCCTGCTTCCATTTCCAACATGCTATCTTTATAAAGCAGGGTTTCTGCAGTGACAGCAACCAAAGTGAGATTAAGGAGTAGACTGAACATAAGCAACATATTTTGGGTGTCACTGTCTCCCATCACCCCAAGATAGGACCATCTAGTTGTCAGTAAACAAACATAGTGTTCCCACTGATCCTGTATTATGGTGAGTTGTATAATTTCATTATCTATTACAATGCAATAATAATGAAAATAAAGTACTCAATAAACATAATATGCTTGAGTGATCACAATACCCACTCCTACTCCCATCCATGGAAAAACTATCTTACATGAAACTGTCCCTGGTGCCAAAAAGATTGGGGATCGCTGACATATAAGAATCATTTACAAATAAAACTGTGTAACTGCAGGAACTAAGTGGTAGGCATATGGATATTCACTATATGAGTCAACCTTTCCATGTATGGAAAATTTCAGAACACAATGATGGGAGAGAAGCTGAACTGAAAGTTTAAAAGTCCCTGGTAAAAGCTGGGTGTGGTGGCACACACTTGTAATCCCAGTACGCAGGAGGATCACTGTGAGTTTGAGGTCATCCTGGGCTACATAGTGAGTTCAAGGCCAGACTAAATTACAGAATGAGATCCTGTCACAAAAAAATCTCTGGTAAAATCCAAATGTCCAAATCTCATCACAAGGAATGTTCTATACCAGTGGTGGTGAACCTACAACACGTGTGTCACAGCAGGCTATTTGTAACGTTGAACGTTCTAAAAGGTTCGCCATCGCTGCTCTTTACAATTGCTCAAATACTAGAGCTAGTACTCTTCTTTCTCAAACAATTCTGATTATGACACACATTCACCTAAAAACTGTCAATCAGTGTTAAGGTTCAACTGATATTAAGTATACCAATGTCTAAATTTATTTGATAGATCAAGAGAGTAAGATAAATTGGTAAATGGATAGAGGGATATATAATTGATAAAAGAATACTAAAATGTTAGCAGTAGACTCTAGGTGGAGGTAGGTAATACACAAATGTTGACTGTAAAATTCTTTTAATTTGTATGTTTGAAAATCTTCATAACAAAACACTAGAAAAAAGAGCATTAATTGACTATTCTGCACAATGAAAAGCCAAATTTTTTGGCATGGCCTATTCTACCCCCTCATTATGTAATTCTAGCCTATCTTTTCAGCACTGCCCTCAATTTTAAGTCTCGGAGGGTCACTGGCTTCCATGGATTTGCAATATAGGGTTTCCTCAGAATGTACTGCCTTTCCCATGTGATTGACCCCTTTTCCTATGAGTCACTACCACCATGAAGCTTTCTAAACCTCCTCAAGCAGAGAGGTTTTTTTCTTTTATGCTCCTTGTACACACTATTATAAAAATTATCACTTTGTTTTAATTAACTATTTCTATATCTGTCTTCATAGCCCCTTAATCTCTTGGAAAACAAAAATTTAAATACATTCATTTTGGCATCCTTAAAGCCCAGTAAAGTACCTGTTATGCTGTAGGAATTTAATGTTTGCTGAACAACAGTGTTCCAATTTACACTTATCTTTTAAGTCACCACCTACTCAGTATTCTCTATTCCTAACATTCCTTTCTTAGTTTAGGTCTGTTGTCTAGATTACTACAACAGCAACCTAAGAGTTCTCCAAGTATGCAGTGTTGTCTTACCATGATTAAAATGTTGCCTGAATTGTGCTCCATGGTGTGAATTAAGACCCAAACATTGGGTAGTCCCATATTCACTAATCAAATACTCTGGAAAAAAAGGGCTTTTCTTAAAAACTTTTCAAAGAATAGTTATATGCTGAAAAACAGTGAGTTTATATGTTGAGTTTTCTCACACAACAAAACCACCTCCTAAGCACTTTACTACATACAACCTTGTCCCTGCTCTCACTTTCAGACTGAGAAAATGGGCATGAATGCAAATATAATGTGATAAATAATATAATTACTGTACTTGGGAACTGGCTAGGAAAATAAAAAGGGAGTTGGGAAAAGTTTCAGAACAGACATTGAAAGTTCAAAGAAACATAAAATAGGAAAATCAGGCTATGTGGAATGGTATAGCAAGGGTGGAAGATAAGGAAACCAGAAATTATCTTTAGATCACTGATTACCTAGCCTGTTTTGTTTCCCCATTCTGGGAAATAAACCCAGGGCTTCTGCACTGACCTACACTCTCAACCCTTTTTAAAATTTGTATTGAGACAGGGTCTCAGTAAGTTGCCAGGGTGGGCTTGAAATTAGAATCCTCCTACTTCAGGCTTTCAGATAGTTGGGGTTACAGGTATGTGCCACCACCTGGCTAGCTTCATTTTTTCCTATTATAGAGGAGTAACAAAAATAGGCAAAGTTACTACCACTAAAGATGATTGACTGGTAAGGAAAAGACTGATGGCATAGAATTTTGTCATTTAGACTGCGTTTATTTTTTTTATTAATTATTAGGTTTAAAATGACTACTTAATATCCTGGCAAGCTAGCAGGACCATTCTATTTTATTCAACATTTCCTCATATTCTTACCTTGTCTTTATAGCCATTATCTGTGACATAAATTGGTGGCTTTCCAGGATGGCGATAAAGAATGAAATCCCGACTACATGGATAGAAAACAAAGGTGGATGGAAAGAGATAATTTAGCATATGTAAAAACACTTATAAGAACAAATATTTGTGCTTTTAAACTGCCTACTTATTCATAAAAAATAATTCCCATGTTCAGCTTACTATTTGGTTTTAAAATAACACAGAGGCTAAATGATGTTAATTCAAGGTAAACTCTGAGGTTTTAGGAATTTTTCTAAATGTATCTTATTTAGGGGTAGAAGAGTAAAGAGTAAAGAAGATAATTTACCAATTGTATGTATATGAGTTTGGTGGGGGCTCTCTTTTACTTAAAAAGCAGGCCTTAGCAATTTTGGGAAAGGTAAAAGGCCAGATGATAAAAGTTTCAGTTTTTGCATGCCATATGGTTTATTCAACTTTGTTTCTGTGGCATGAAAGCAGCCACAGACTATGCACTAAATAAAGCTCTATTTACGGACTGTGAATTTCATATAATTTACACATGCCATGAAACATTCTTTTGACTAATTAAAAACGTTTAACAATCATTCTTAGCTCAAGGGACAAAACAGAAAGTAGTTCAAAAGTTGACTTCTGATTTAAAATAGACAAATGATTAGCTACCCGTCTAATACCTGCCTATACTTCTTACCTGACTTAACGAGAAATGAACAGACTGCAAAACAATGAGAAGAGGGTACTGATTCTACCAAGGTATACACCATCTCACCATGCTATGAACTGTGAAGGAGTCTTACATAGATCAGTCTCCTCAAATTAAGAAGACTTCCACTAGCCTCTAACCTATGCTATGTAGTTATTTTTCAAAACTCTATAGCTTTCTTAAAGGCCATTTTTAATTTTAGAGACCAAAAAAGCAATAGAATGGTGTTTAACTTTTTCCATTATCAGCCCCCCAAGGAGCCTTTTAATATTTTTCTTACGTGAAAGTTTACTATCACAGAGGTCCTATGTATCTGCTTGTGTATATGGCCCTTTGAGGGACCAAAAAAAAAATCAATGGAATACAGTATCTTAAGATTTTGTTCCTCCCCAAGCTAATTTCTAACCTACTAGAAGCAATACTGCCCCACTGAGAATGCCTGAAAAAGAACCATGAATACACAAGAATTCTTCTAAGATGAATATTCTGACTTCCTACAGGAAATACCAGTAGTTCTTAAAGCCTCTTATTCTTCCATACAGACACAAATGCTATAGGTAAGGACAGCATCTGTACCAAGTTTCTCCACCCAAAAACTGCACCAAACTAGTTTTGCTTATACTTCTTTATATTATCAATATATCACATCTCAAATTTCCCCAGTCCTAAAAGGACTTTAACAAAAACCTTACACACACTCACTCTCTCTCTCTCTCTCTCTCTCTCTCTTTCTCTCTCAAAGAAAAGGGGACACAACTTACTTATAAATTTGAGAAAGAGCTCGTATTTCCAGCTGGCCAGCACTTTCCTAAACATAAACAGTACAGAGTTTTGAAAAATATTTCATAGCTAGGAAGAAGTTTTTTTGGCAAGTTTAACATATTTTTAGCTGTTTAGCATTGTATCAGATAAAGCACTTGTATAAAACACTGTAACTTGTTTTAAGGATTAGAATACTGTGATAGTTACTCATTAATATAAGCTCATCATGAAAAAAATGGACTTACAGCCTTTGCCATTTAGTAATAATGACATTTAATATAAGAAATTTAAAAGGCACAATAAAAAGCAGACCTAATTTAAGAATACAAAGGTAGTGGGTTACTTAATAAATACATTTTAAATCCAGAACGATGGAATTAATTTTATCACATAAAAATTATTCCTAAAGTATGTGTTTATCTCCTACACAAAACTACAAGAGTTGTCTACTTTTAAAAATGACCTCAGTAACACTGATTTCCACCCTCCTCCCTCATTAAATTAAAAAGGCTTTAATATTTCCCAACACTGTCTTGTTTCCCCTGTACTCTCAGTTCTTTATGAATGTGATTATTAACACTTAATTCTCAATATTCAACAAAAAACAAGTTCACTGTCAAGTCTCTAAACTTCCACACTAAGTATTTGATGCAACAGAGCTGGCCATTTAAGAAAATATTTTGAGTCTGGCTGTAGTGACATAGATGAAAATATAGGTGACTATTGCGAATAACTCTGAAAAGATTAAATTGCCATATTTGATCTTACCTTGGGATCTCCCAACCGTTGCAGGTATTTCTCAAAAGATCCCTCCACATACTTCAAAAATAAAACAAACTTGACTTAACCAAATACATAGTATTACTGAAATCAGATTATATTCTGCAATATTATCTTCCAATGAATTTTTTTGTTCAGCTCAATAATTACAGTATGAAATTACTATTGTACACAGCATCTCAAGAAGATTTGCACATACATAAAACTTCAAAGTGGAAAAAAGCTAGAATACGAAAGTATCTTAGGAATTGGTACTGGATTATTCATACACCTGTGCATTTTATCTATTGATGTGCCTGTGAGTTTCTTTTGAAATGCTAACTTAAATCATCTGACAATTTTCATAAATCGAACAATGCCAATAAGTACATGGATTTCAAATCTGTTGGGAGACATATTTAAAAAGTTAAACTAAGAAACTTTAAAAGAAATTTCACTAATTTCAGAAAAGCTTGGGGCATAAGGGAACTTTTTTGGGTAATGAAATCATTTCATACCTTGATGGTGATGGCTGTTATATATCACTGCAAAAACTAAAAATGCTTTCCGCCACCTGCCTCGCAAGCACAAAGACCCGAATTTGATCCCCAGTACCCAAAAAAACAAAACAAACAAACAAAAAAAAAACCACCTGAAAATGCTAAATTTAGAATGTTAAATCTTACTGTATATGAAATATACCTCAGTAAAATTTAAATTGACCAGGCACGGTGGCCAATACCTGTAATCCCAGCATTCTAGGAGGCTGAGGCTGGAAGATCGCAACTTTGAAAACAGAAGAGGCAATTTAGGGACTTAGACTCTACCTCATATTACAACAACAACAACAAAAAAAGCAAAACAACAACAACAAAAAAATCCAGTCTTGGGATGTAGCTCCCTGAGAAGTCCCTGGATTCAATCCCCAGTACCACAATAAAAGGCCCCCCCAAAAAAACCCTCAGAAAATAGATTTCTAGTTCCATAAATATTACTAGACACAAAACTCATTTAATTTTTCCTCACTTTGCTTTAGTTTTGAGATACAACTAACCTACAAGAAACCATATAATTTAAATAGTACAATTAAATAAATTTTGATTTTTTATGCTCCCATGAAGCCATCATCACAATTGAGATAATTTATCATCTCCAAAAGTTTCCTTATGCCCCTGTATAATTAACATATGATCACTGATGTGCTTTCTGTTCCTATATATTGGTAATTTTTCTAGAGCTTTTTTTAATAAAGGCAGTCATACAGTATAAGCTTTTTCCTTAGACAAAATGTGTGGTTTCTATAATTCAGTGTAATTAGAGATTCACTCATTTAGTTTTAACATTTTACATACACCTTTAAGCAAAATGTGGTCTAGAAACAACAGCAAGCATCCCTTGGGAATCTGTTAAAAATGCAGAAATATCAGACCTTAAATCAGACCTAATGAATCAAAATTGCTATTTTCAAGAGATCTCCAGGCGACGTATACGCACAAAAATACTTGAGAGCCGGCCTGTAATCCTAACTCAGAAGGCGGAAGCAGGAGGATCACTGTGAGTTCAAGGCCAGCCTGAACTAGATACCAAGACCCTGTCTCAAAAAACCCAAAACAAACCAAAAACCTTTAAGACTAACTACTTTTCACAGTAGTCTTGCATTTGAATGTCAAACAATCCTTTCCCCAGGTGTGAAGATTATAATCAAATTCAAAGTAATAAGCTTTAAAATCAAGAAGCTTTCACAGTATTTAAAAATTCACTGAAACCTGCTGAGAAAGTAACCTGAAACAGCAGGCACCAAACACTCACTATATTTAGTGTTAGAAGAAAACAAATAGTACCAAAAGGAGTAAAAATGTAAAAAAGTTAAAAGCTATGGGAAATGGCACACTTCAAATCAGACCATGATAGAACCTCTAGTTTACTTAAAAATTCAAATACTTTAATATACAAAATCCTCTAAAAGTTGTTTTACTTAAAAGTCAAACATTAGTGACAGATCCAATTACCACAATCTGTCATGAAAAAAGGTAAATGTTATGACTAATTTGTTTTCTTGCAATTAAGTTTTACAAGACTCTTCAAATTGACTGGCTGAAGGTTGTGCACACATTAAAGTATGCATTTAAAAATATTAACAGCAAAATGTTTCATGAATTATTAACTGTCCCAGAAAACAGTGGTATGTATAACAAAACAGCAGTGAAAATGCAACTTTTTGGGATTTGGGGGTTCTTTTTGGGGGGGAAGTGGGGAAACAGACTTTTTATTAATTTTTAATTAGAGTACAAAACAAGAGGTCCAGAAGCTTGCTAGCCACTGAGAAGCCACGTCTGAATTAAATATTTGCTACTGAAAGAGGAAACTGATATAATGTAGGCACTCAAAACATTTTCCCACTTGAGATATTACCAATAACTCTCTTCCAGGTGTAAATTCTACTTACAGACTCAAAAGTTTGTTGATTTTCCTTCATATATGTGACACAAGCCTTCCTAACTTGCAAATGATGGACCTGGCTGCAAAATAACTAAAAAAGAAATACCAGTTCACTTGTCAAGTCATTTGAAATAGAAACTTCTAAGACTACAAAAATGACCACTTAAACCTCCCTTATTCAGAACATACGTAGGAAACAGGGAAATTGAGTCATCTTACTAAAAAAAAACCACTTTAATCTTTAGTGAAATGGGAGGAGGGAAGTACAATAATTCTGTAATGCCCCTTCCCCTTCCTATCCCTTAAGGGCATAGGCTGTTTTTCTTAGGCATAAAACTTGAAAGAAGCTGGGGATGCTTACAGGATCAAAATACATTTCAATGTTTTCTCTAACCCCATCATTTTATCCCTCCTATATTACAAATTGACATTTAAAAAACAGAACAGATCACAAAAGTACAGCAACATATTTGTACTAAAGAGCAATGGCACAACACACCTTTGTACTGATGCACTAAAAAGGGAGCAGCCACTTTCCAGATAAATCTGGATGTTTTCACTAAGAAACAAAAAAAAGCACTACAGGAACATGCTATGTCTCAAATGCTAAAAACTCAGTATAGGTAAGACATTTTTTTCCTATTACCTGCTCCGAAATAGCCCGAAAGAGGCAAGAGGCATCCTTGGCAGTCAGCTTTCGAAACAGCCCTAAACTGCCTAAATATTCATCCATTGAAGTCTCATTCAAAGACTTCTGGCCACCATACTTTTTCCATCCTTTATGCATCGTGCATGGAATGGAGGGGGGAGAAAAGGAACAGAAGTGTGGAAAGGAAGAAGCAGCAGGGTGCAGCGAGGAGTGCGGGGCAGGGAGAAGGGCTTGCGCTTGCAGGTCTCCGGAAAGCAGCTCAAAGTTTAAGCAGAAGGCAGCTGGAGTCAGCCCGGCAGAATCTTGGCACTTCCCAAGAGCAGGAGAAGCAAGGGGTGGGGCTTGTCCAAGACAAGTCAGGATCCTGTGAAAAAAAGAGGAAGAGGCAATGCTCCTAGGAATGCAGAATTCCAGAAAGAAACCTGGGAGGGAGAAGGTATGCTTTGGAAGGGTGGGATTAACCCAATCAGCCCAAGGTTGAGAAAAATACGTATACATAAACAGCTGAGCTTTGGGACCAGACAGAAAAACCAGTTTGCAGCTTAATGCAGGTCAGCTGCTGCACGAGGCTGCAAAGGGGACTATAATAAGACTCAGGTGTATAAGATGCAGTTTGATACCTATTACTTTAAGATCTGTGCCTGAATTTTTCAACCAGTCTGTCTAAATTCCCTGCTCCCTACACAGTTTCAGAAAAATGGGGGGGGGGGGGGAATCTGAATTTAACTACTAAGAAATTCACTTTTTGCACGAAGAATATGTTTTTAAAATCAAAGGGGGAGGGACCTCCCTTCATCTGTAGGGGCAGAGGTCATAGTTAAAGTGCCAAGGCAATTATCTGAATATTTTGATTATGGGGTTGAAATAATCCTATAGTTAATTCTTGATAATAACTCTGCCAGGATCATAGAAACTAAATTAGCTGTTAAAAACCCTGATAAAAAATTTTGACTAATAGGGAATATGTAAAAAGTGTTTTTTTAAAATGGAAATAAAAATTTAAATCGAAGCAGATTTTCTAATAGTATATATTTAAAATACTCTGGCATGGCATGAGAGGTGTTGAGAGACATGTTTCAATGTATTAGGGTACTTTTTCAGAAAAATGGTTCTGGATTCTGAGAAAAGTAAAACATTAAGGGGCAATGACAGGATCATTCACTTGTATTTTGATTTCACCATCAAGTGTTTTATTTTTATATAAATCCCAATTCATTTTTTACTTTTTTGAAGTATTAAACAATTTAAGGGCTAGGAAAAACATCAACAATCACTTGTAATTTAAGAATGAAAAGTTAGCATGGTAAATAAAGGAATAAAATCTTGACTTAGCATGCTGATTTAAAATTAACTTTTTTCTTTTAAAGAAAGAGGACATAAAGAATTAAGATGTCCTATGTTCATGTACCAATTCCCTATGATGAATGTAATCATTATGTACTGAAAACATGTACTAATAAAAATAAAAATAAAAAAAGAAACCATAATACAGGGGAAGTAAAGTAATGCCTTTTGCAAAGTTGTGAACATACTGTTTGGAAAAAGGGATCATCAGCTTTAAGCCTACTAATTCATTGAGAGAAATTAAGGGTTATAATTAAAGTTAATACACTTTTAGCATAACTAAAAAGTAAACAAAAATACAAATTATTTATATCTATTGCTTTTAAAACTAAAACTAAGGTATATAAAACTTCATGTAATAAAATTTTACACATTTCATTTTTAGAAAGGATATAGAGAAAGGGAAACTTGGGAGAAGAAGAGAGAAAACCAGAAAGTAATAGAAGAAAATTGGAAACAAAAGACTAAAAAAATTAGGAGCAGGAAGACAAGAGAGGAAAAAAGTAACACTGGGAAGCACACAGAAGTAGAATCCTACAAATATGGTCAATTGGTTTTTGGCAAAGGTTCAAAAGTAAAATGACAAAAGTATTTTCACCAAATGATGTTGGAACAATTGGTCATTCATATGCAAAAAGGACCCTAGATCTGTATCTCACACCTTGTATGATAACTAATTCAAAATAGATCACAAATCTAAATCTAAAATATAATCTTTTGGTGTAGGCCTAGGCAGTCTGGCTTCCTGGTGAGATGAAGGCAGCAAAAGAAAAGCTGCAAGGATACTTCCCTGCATGCCTTTTTGTATGTTTTGATTTTTGAAGCAGAAATAAGTGCTCAAAAATAAATATATATATATATAATTAAATTTCATTAAAAAACATTTTGAGAAGAAAACAAAAGAAAATCTACAAAGAACAGGTTAAGTAAAGAGTTGTTAAATACAGCATAACAGAAAAAAGTAATTGGACTTTATCAAAATTAAAAACCTTTGTTCTATAAATGACATTGTTAGGAGTGAAAATACAAGCCACAAACTGGGAGAAAGTATTTACATAAAACATATCTAACTGAAAAAACTTTGTGTTTGAAATGTACAAAGAACTCTCAATGTCAACAGTAAGAAATCAATCCAAGATTTTCAGTGAGCAAAAGATTTAAACACCTTTCACTAAAGATATAGAAATGGCTAATAAGCACATAAAAAGATACTTATCATTAACCATTAGGAAAATGAAAATTAAAAGCACAATGATACATCATTACACGCCTACTGAGATGGCTATAACAAATAATATGTTATAAGGATGCAGAGAAACTGGCCCTTAGTAAAAGAAACCAGATGCAAAAGGTATCATCCCCAAAATGTGTAATTCCAATTACATGAAATATGCCAAAAGGGGAAATCTACAGAGACAGAAAACAGATTAACAGTTACTTGGGGCAGGAAATATGTACTGACTATAACCAAGCATAAAAATCTAAAACTGCTTTGTACTGTTTGCACAATTCTGTACATTCACTAAAAATTATTGAATTGTATTCTTAAAACAGATGAATTTTTAAAAGCTTTGAGAAATGTCAGCATACAAGTCACCCACTTAACCCATATGTTTTTGTGTAATCAGAGATGTGCACTCATCACCACAATCAATTTTAAAACAATACCAGTAACTGAAAATGAAACCCTGCATCCTATAGCCATCGACTTCTAATCCTCCCATTCCCACCAATCACAGGCAACCACTAATCTACTTTCTGGTCTACAGACCTAACTATTCTGGACTTTTCAAATAAATGTTATCAAACAATACCGTGGTCCTGAGTAATTGGCTTCTTTCACTCAGCACTGAGGTTTTCAAGTCTACACCACTGTAGTGTGTATCAGTGTCTCAATCCACTATATACAGTAGTTAAACCACAATTTATTCATCCAATCAATAAAAATTTGGGTTGCTTCCACTTTGTGGCTATTAGGAAGAATATTGCCATAGAGTCATATACAACGTTTTAAACATGTTTTCAGATTACAGCCATCTTAGTAGGTTTGAAGAGCAATTTCACTGTGGTTTTCATTTGTATTTTTCCAGTGGGTAATGATATTGAGCATCTTTTCATGTGGTTTTTGGGGGCAATCCTTTGTTTGTTTTTGGTAGTATTAGGGAATTGAACCCAGGGCTACATGCACACTAAGGAAGTGCTCTACCACTGAGATATTATGTCCAGCCCAACTACTTGTATATCTTTAATAATATACAACTACATACAGCTTAGAGTGGCTAAAATAAAAAAAATTAAAACTGGCAATACCAAGTGCTGAAAGATATATGGAACAACTGAAACCATCATGTTGCTAGTAGGAATAGTACAACTGCTCTAAAAATAGTTTAATAGTTTCTCACAAAATTAAATATATGTACCATCTGACCCAGTAACCTAGAAATCCCACTTTTAGGTATCCATTGAAAAGAAATGTATACCCAAAAACCCATCTGTGAATTTTTATATCAGCTTTATCCATAATCATGATGCCTCAAAACTGGAAACAATGTAAACATACTTCAACTGGTGAATGCACAAACTGTGGTATACTCATACAATAGAATACTTCCTAACAATAAAATTAAGATACTAATACACATAAAACATGTACAAATTTCAAAATATCATCATACTAAGTGAAAAAAAAAGATTCAAAAGGCTGCATATTGTATGACTACAATTACAATGACATATGTGGAAAAGGTAAAATTAAAGGGAAAATAGGTAGCAGTTGCCAGTAATTAACAGTTGCAGGGAAAGGTTAATTACAAGGGAATGGCTGAAAGGGATGTATAAGGGCTAAGAATTTTTTTGTATCTTGTCTGTAGTAGTAGTTACCTGTTATGCATTTGTCAAAAATTATAAAACTGTGTAAGAAAATGCTGATTTTGCTGTACTTAAATTTAAAATAAAACAAAAAGTAGGATAAAATTTAGACTGAGGAACTCACAGAACAGGAAGATAGGAAAGAAAACATAGGAAAATTAGATAATCAAGAAAGTCAACTTCTAAAATCAAGAGATTCAATAAGAGATGAAGTAGAGAAGAAATGATGGTGATAGAAAAATAATTCTAGCACTATAGGGCCGGGGATTTAGCTCAGTGGTTCTGCCACCTGCCTTGCAAGTGCAAGGACCCGAGTTCGATCCCCGGTACCAAAAAAAAAAGAAAAAAAATTCTAGCACTATAGAATATAAGTATTATATGCATAATGAGATTGAAAAGCATGAAGTATCCAGAACAATGAAGTTTGTGAAGTCAGGAGAAAGAGATTTCCAAAACTTTCAGAGAGGAAAAACAGGTCATATACAAAACAATCACAAATATGAATTGGAATAAACTTATCAAGAGAAAAACTAGAATTAAGTAAATTGAAAATCCGATTTCAATCTTGAATTCTATACCAAACTATCAGATGAGAAAGGAGAATATGGTCTTTTCAGGAAGGTGTCAAAAATGTAACCACCCTTTTTCAGGAAGCTACTGGGAGATATTTGAAACCAAAATTTATAAAGTTATAAAAAGTGGAGGTCATACAATCCTAGAAACAGGAGATTAAATGTAAGAGAAAGCACAGGGAATTTCCAGGATGAGGATGTAGAGAAATACCAGAAAGACAAACAGCAGAATTAGACAGAGTTCAGTTCAGATAAAATATAAAAGCAGGTAAAAGATGGCAGGGAACACCAGTGTGGTCACCTCAAATGAGTAATCAGGGCCGAGGGTGTAGCTCAGTGCAGAGCCTGCCTAGCAAGGACTAGATCCTAGGTTTCATCCTCAACAATGCAAAAAAAAATAAGCAATATAAATTAAATTACAGATAATCTGATGTGTCTGAATATACTAAGGGGGGATGTATACATATGGTGGAAATATGTTTCTATCAAAAACAACATGAAAACATAAAGTAAGGTAAAACAAACTTTACAGGAAGGAAATGAAGTCAATGAACAATATTCCATACTAACACCAACAATG